CACCGCGAATTAAATTATTAATTAATTTCGGGGATATTTAACGCGGCCTGAAAGCGCGCGGCTTGGTCAGCGCGACCCTTGAATTTGGAATTATTTAATCCTCTCGGGACTCGCGGCTATCTGACCGGAATTCGTGCCGGTTAGCTGAAACAGGTACGCGTGTGTCTGTGAAAATTTTATTATTAAATTTCAGTAACTCCTTCCTGTCCATAGTTGTCCATATAATCCTGTCCATATAATCGAAAAGAGGTGTAACAAAAATTATCCGGACGAGAGAACGAGAGAAAGAGGGAGAAAAATAACTGCAATTTGTCGTCGATTAAAAATGAAAACTAGGAATTGTTTTTTCATTTATTCTATAATCTAAATATTTCATCCCATAAATGCATTTTATCAGCGATTAAAGTCTTAATTCGACTTTGCAATATTATTAAATTTCAGTAATTTCTTCTGTCTATATTGCTGTATTATCGATAAAAGATGTAACAAAAATTATTTCAAAAAAAGAGAACGAGAGAAAGAGAGGGGAAGAAATAACTGCAATTTAAAGAAATAACGTCAATTAGAAATGAAAACTAGAAATTGATTTTTCGATATTCTATGATCTCTATATTTGATCCTAAATGTTTTTTTATCAGCGGCCAAAATTTGAATTCGAATTCCTTTCTATAACTGTATAATCGATAGGATGTGTATCAAAGATAATTCGGCAATACAAAGAATAGACAAAATGATATGAATAATTAGAAAATACTCTATTTTATTAACAAGAGGTTGGTCCATCATTTGCTTTTAATACATATTCTAATCTTGTTTGATAATCACATGTAATATTTGAGTTACGAATATAACGTTATTCTTTAGCAGAACATTTTTCAATTGCTCATATAAATGGCATTAGATGAGGAAATTTTCTTCTTACTCCATTTTCCAAAATTGTCCTCTGTACTTCGAACTTCAATACCTTTACCTAACCAATGTAATCGTCTGATTTAAATATCATTTGTAGATTTGAAGAGCAGAATGAAAAACAGATTTCCTCTTCAAATATCTTAAGTAACTGAAAGATGTTCTGTTAGAAGAATGTTGTAACATTATACCATTATACATTGTTGCTATATTATTCAAGCATGTACAACATTATTCCAACAAGGATAAAACTTGTACATTAAAGATAAGCGCTGGCCAATTTCTTATTAATGAAACAAGTAGATAGTATATTTCTCCGGTGTTCACATTATTTTGTCGCCTATACCCGGAAAGGAAAAAAACGTTTTATATATATATGGACATGTTATATATAATTATACATAATTGTATATAAAATGTTAATTTTAAAAATAATTATATACAATTTTATATAGTTTTATAATATTATATAATTATATAATTATGTATGAAACATTTTTTCTCGAGGTAGCTGCAATCTCATCGATTAGAAATAACTTTTTCATCTATTCTATACTATATTTGATTTAAATTCCTTTTTGACAATTAAAATTTTAATTCGACCTTGAATCTTCTGAATCTTCTCATTACGAATGTCTATGTTAGTCAAACTATTGAAAAAAGTTGCATAAGAAATTCAATTAGAATTTGACTAGTAATTCGCGAATAATGGCGTACTGTATCTTAAAGAGAATGCTGAAAAGAGCCATTTTTTTTCAAATCAGGTTAAAATTTCAATGTGAAAGGCACGTTGCGTCCCGCCTCGCTCCAATCTCGAGTCCTCCGGTGCCGTTTCCAATGAAACGGAATATCAATTATCCGCGCAATTACAGCAATTAATACTCATCCGGATAGAGGCCGAGTCGCGCCGTAAAGGCGACGCAAGAATTACTTTGAGAGTAGGAAGGGAGAGGGAGGAGAAGTGTAGCTTCATACGTCCGGGAACAAATAAAAGATTCCTCATTCGGAATCTCTGCGCCGCGGCCCATTATACACAGCATCGGCCCTTGGAGTGTTTTTATTATAAAGGGCGCGTATTAATAATCTCCGCAATTAAAGTAATTAATAGCGATCGCCCGCAGGATCGTCGTGCACGCGCGCCGCGTCTACGCGTTGCGTAAAGACCCGGGCGTCGCGTTCAAACGGGCTTCCCTCTTGAACGGAGTGGGCTTCTCTTTTCGAGGGGAGAAATTTTATTTCTCCGACATATTCCCGGGGTAGCCGCGTTAAACTCGTCCTTTTTTCTATTTGCTTATTAAAGGAAATTGCCTTCGTGAAGTACGATCACCCCCTGCGATCGCCCCATTATATCTCGAAACGCATTTCAACGCACGATTCATTTAATACGAGAGAAATGTATCCTTCGGTATTAATTCCCCCATCTTTGCGAGCATCGTATTAACATTATTTCCGCAGTTGTACGGCAGCGTAGAATATCTCGGTTTATTAATACATCAACGCGAACTTTCATCTGACTCGCGATATATTCAGCGTTTCTCTTATCAAATATTCTAAGGCACTCACGAATGTCAGCCTGAACGGAATGCCGACGGATCAAGAAATTCTCGTGTGATAATTCGATAATCGCGCGGGGAACAATCGGGGAAAGATTGCGCGATGGAATGCGTAAAGTGGGCTAAGGTCGGTTCGCAAACTATTTGGCGTTCATCCAGAAAGAGAGAGAAAGAGGGTGAAAGAGAGACTTGAAGCGCGGACTTTTTTT